GTAGATGCCCAATATTATGTAAATTTTTCACTCAAGCACATTTATTTCTCAGCAAGTTGCTATTTGTTTTCATCCATAAACAAATACCACCTTCAAACTTCAATCAGTATTTAGTGATCTAGAATGTAGGAGTAAAGAGAGCTGAACTCCAAAGGTTAAAGCAGATAATCTGTCTCTTTGATGTTTGTATAAACTTAAATAAATAAGGTATGGACATATATCGAGTCATGAGAAATACTGAATTGTGGCTAAACAGCCTGCATGCTACCCAGCCTGTGTGTATGTAATTTTAAATATGCACTCGTAGAAGACTGGGCTCAATTTGTGAATCCAAGAGTCTCAAATTCCAGACCATAGTCTTAAGTACTGTTTAAAGATAACATGCCAAAATCAATGGAGTGATCTAAATAGTCATATACTGTACAGAGCTTGGGCATTAGTGTCAGGAAGAAGCAAACTATTTTGGCTGACTTGCCAATTTGAAGCTTGTCTACACATTAGTTACCTTATACTTGTTTGCACATTAGTTCCTTCATCCATTCGAGTACCTTAGCACCCTACAGGAACATCGCTATTCTGACTGTTGTTTGTTTGTTCCAGCAGGGAGCATAGGCAGCTAAAGAGAATATGTTGCAACAGGGCTCAACCAGCTAAGAGTCCCCATAAGGGCAGCCAGATACTGAGCACACTGCAACTTCTCTGCTCCTGGGTTGGTCTCCAGCTCTGCCAGGACTAGGCTCTCCAGCTGGAGAGCCGCCTCCTAGCCTTGTGCTTTTGGCAAGTTGAGATTCCCTGTCACTGCTGCCAGCCACTCACCCTAGCAGCCACCACAGCTTTTCTTTGCCAGAGAAAACAAGGCATTCGCTGTACGAACTGCTTTTCCTTTTCCTCCCTCGCTCTGGCTTCATCTGTGATTTTCCCTACCGTTATCTCTTCCAGCTACAGGCAAGAGCAGCCACTGCCAAAGCAAAATCTGAAAACAGCCCATGCAGTGGTTTCCTTGATGCTTCCAGCTAGGAAAACCTGGGGCTGCTTGGAGGAGGAGGAGATGCTGCTGAGAGTGCTGGTTGAGTCATGGGGTGGAAGTGTGGACTGTGGCTCCAGATGCCTGTACTGGCTGTTTGAATGCAAGGCTGGTAGAGTTTCCTGGATATGGTTCTGCATTAAGAGGTTAATAAGGGTACCTGCTCTGTCCGTCTGGTATTCTATTTCTTTGAATAAAACCTGCACAAGTGCCTTTTGAAAAGCTGATTCATGTTATTGATTGGTTCAAAAATGGTATTTCCCTGTTAATGATCCACTGATGGGAATTTACTTTTAGAGATTCATAATGTATGTTCATGAAGGATGGCAATGATGCCCCAAGCTTCATTAATTTGAAACTGTTATTAATTCAGGCAGTTAGTAGTTGTGATTGCAACCGTATGATCTCCTAATGATATTATGGCATCTGTTATGTACAAACATTACAGGATGCAGCCTAACATCAAAAAGCCCTTCCAAACAATGTGCTGGAGGTATTAATCACTTTTGATGCTGAAAGTTGCATCCATCTGCACTTTGGGTGCTCAAGCAGAAGCCATGGTAGAATCTAGAAAGGCCACTAGCTATTCCATTCTGTGATCAGAGACTGGGCTGGATTCAGTCTAAGCTAGTCATGCTTTAGTCTCATCGAAACCAACAGGACAAACTGAAGACTAATTTAAGAATAATCCTTGGGCACAGTGAAGAGAAAAACCAAGCAGAAGAATTGCCCAATCCAAGCTCAGGCTGGCAAGGAAGATTTCTTGTTGTCTTTCTGTCTCCCTCTCTCTCCCTCTGCCCTCCCCCCCCCCGTTCAGACATGTATTTTCCCTTTATATTTTCTCCCTCTTCTTCCAGTGGCACAACTATGCCAGCTCCAGAGCTAGTCTGCTCCCTTCCCCGCTTCCAGGCAGATGTGGGGGGAATGGGAGGTTTCACTCCGTAGATGTTACTGCCATTGAAGTGCCAGCAGTGAAGTGGGCAAGGGCAGCAGAGTTTTCTGCCCCTTGAGAGGCTGGATCCCTCTGCAGGCAGAGAGGAGATCATCTGTGTCCTTAGGTCTCAAGGCATCCTTCCAGGAACTCTTGTTTTGTGTCCTTAGTCTTGATGCAAGCTCATTATTATCTCCTAGAAGTCTTAAAACTGTTGCGGCATCTTTAATTTTTATTTTAAAAAAGCTTGTCATTCCAGGATGGAGGAGGAGGACAGGAGGAGGGGATGGGGCAAGAGAATGCATTTTATGCCTTCTGTTTGTCTTAAGAGGCCTGGCAAGTTTGAGGATTAGTGTGAGAGGTGGTTAGGGAAATATCAGGAAATTGGTCTCTCCCTCTTGCCTCAGTGGTGCTTTCAGAACCCTGCAGAACTTTGGAGGAAGGGTTTAGTAGGAGTGCATGTTGGTATCTGCCCCAGACTCTCTAAATCAGTGGTTCTCAGACTTTTTTTCTCTGGGCCACACTTTCATAATAAAAATCTGCTCATGCTACCTCAGGTGTTTTTTTATTGATAAGAAATATATTGGAAAACAAAAAGAAGCAACTCCTAGCAGTGCTTGATTTATAACATTGCACACAATTACTTTATAATACGACCACGGGACACCCAGAAAGTATAAAATAGTGCAGCTACAGGAATCATTCCCAAAGTATAATTTTTAAAAAGCCCCTTGCATGTTTACCTTAACTATGTATGGAAACTAAATGGGAGGTGTGAGCTTGCTTTTGCTGCGTAATTTCATTTATATTAAGTTGAATCTGAGACAGGCAAACTCATCAATTTCTCCTTAGCCAACCTAGCCTAATCCTACACTATACCATAACTGCGCTGATATGTTCAAATGTTTACTTGATTGCCCTTGAATCTTCTCGCCACACTTGCCATTCTCTTCTGCCACACCCTTTGAGTACCACTGCTCTAAATACTCCTGATCTGTGTCTTTCTCACCTTGTTCCTACAAAATATGTTTCTGGGTGTTTGCTTTATATTGCTCAAAGAATTTTCTCAACAACTGGACTTTTAAATGAGTCTGTATTTCAGAGACACCATTTTTTTTTAAAAAAAAGTCTGAAATGGCATGAATGAGCCAGTAGAATTAGAGAAAGCTTTCAGAATAAATGACGCCTTGCCACTAGCAGAAATGTTTTTTTATTAAAAAAAAACTTTGTTCAGTTAATCATGATACAAATACACTTATTCAGCCAAATTACCTTTCAGAATCTGTCTAACTAAATCAGTGGTTTCTCTGATTCTGCAAAGGAAGATGGGTACATTATCCCTAATGGTTAGCTAATGGCATATGCATTTAGAAAACTAATTAAACATTATATTTAGCAGATATTAAAAAGTTGCTTCTGTTACTCTAATGGGTTGTTTTTATTTTTTATTTTCTTTTAAAAAACAACAACATTAAGGAGAAACTTACAAAGGAGATAATAGGAAAGTAGGTGGTTTGGTTTCCAGTCCATCAAAACAGATTTCATAGAATCATAGAATTGTAGAGTTGGAAGGGACTCTGAGCTCCAACTCCTTGCTATGCAAGAATCTCAACTAAACCATCCATGACCATTGTCTATCCAACCTCTGCTTAAAAACTTCAAATGAAGGACAGTCCACCACTTTCAAGGCGGTCCTTTCCACTGTTGAACAGCTCTTACCATCAGAATGTTCTTTCTGATGTTTAGTCGGAATCTCCTTTCTTGTAACTTGAAGCCATTGGTTCTGGTCCTACCCACTGGAACAGGAAAAAACAAGTTTGCTCCATCTTCCATGTGATATTCTCTTCTCCATCACCTCTTATCCAGGCTAAATGTACCCAGCTCTCTCAACCATTCCTCATAAGGCTTAGTTTCCAGACTCTTGATCATCTTGGTCACCCTCTTTGTACACATTCCAGCTTGAAGATTCTTCTTCAAATTTGGTGTCCAGAACTGGACACAGTGTTCCGAGTGTGGTCTGACTAAGGCAGAATGGAGCAGTACTATGACTTTCCTTGACCTGGAGACTATGCCTCTGTTGATGCAGCCTAGAATAGCATGATCTTTGTTTGCTGCTGCGTTACATTGTTGACTCATGTTAAGCTTGTGGTCTAGTAAGACCTCTAGATCCTTTTCACAGGTATTACTGGCAAACTTTTTTTTTTTGGCAGGTGGTTCTTCCTGCCTAAGTGTAGAACCATACATTTGTCCCTATTGAAATTTCATTTTCTTGGTTTTGGCCCAGTTCTTCAATCTGGGAAGGTGGTACAACTGGCTGTTCCTATCGGGCATCTCTGAGGACACCGGGCATGGGAAGTGTGCACCTTTCATTTCCATAGTGTTGCAGCTAGAGCTAGATTGTGTGCAGGTCTTTGGGAGAGTTTGGGGACTGTTTCTGGCAATCTACATGTTTTGTGATCTACGTCTTTTGCATTCCGCACCTAAGCCAAATTTTGACCAGGCCAGGCAATGGGAAATAACTGTGGGTCAGTGGTAGAGCACATACTAGCCATGCAGAGGATTCCGGGTTCAGCCCCTGGTATCTCCAGGTAGTCTTGGTAACATCTTAAGTTTTAAACCCTGAATAGCCACTACTAAATGTACCATTTGGAATAAGGCACTTTCTTCGGTTCTGTGCTTTTGTTGTTGCTGCTGCTGGCAATCTTCATTGCACAAAGCTGCCCCATAACTTTCTACCATTGAAACTGCAATGTGATGGCTGTTATCGAATGTGCATATCTATCTATCTATCTATCTGCATATCTATCTGCATATCTATCTATCATCTATCTATCTCATTTCCAAGCTAACTCAGTGATTTTTTTAAAAAATAATTACTCCCATCATTTGGAACTTTGCCTTTTGTGCCTTCAGTGTAGCTCCCTAAAGCACATTTTTTCCAGCAAGCTTTAACTTTCTTAAGCAGGCCCTGCCCTGGGGGAGCGAGGAGTCTATTTCACAGTCTAATACATTTCGCCATTAAAGAGCTTCCTCTTTTAATTCCAGGATATTCCAGAAGGAAGCACTTAATTTGAACTGCATTGCAATGAGTAGAAAGCTAGCCTTCTGGCATCCAATGCTTCCTAATTATTTGCCCTGGGGAGAAGAGCGGATGGCAGCGGAAGTGGAAGCAGAGGCTCTGGAGAGAAAGGAAAGATGGGAATGCTCCAAATTAAATAAACCATACCGAGAAGGAATTGGAGGTACCACATTCTTCCTTTCCGGAGACTCCCTAAAACCTTCATTTATTTTGACTTGCAGCTGAAAGGTTTCACTGTCACCTCTTCATTGTTCTGCAGTAGAACAACAAAAAGCTGTAACCATGTGGAACAAATATTGAGAAGCAAACTGTTTAAGCACATGGTACACTTTGTCGCATGCTTGGGTTTCCAATATTTCAGGTTTTTCTAAAGCGAGACACTTGATTCCTTCCTAACAAAGCCTGAGAAACCAGGAGAAGAGGGGATTGGTTTTTTTTTTAATGATGTGAAAGATTGGAAAGAAAGTCCAGCCCTGCCTTACCTTCCTGCAATGCCTAAAACCTGAATAAAAGCATATCAACTAAAAGTTGGCAGTGATGGTAGGACAGGACTTGAATAGTTCCTGGAATGCCTTCTGCTCAGGGGATTATACATGAGGTTCAGCATATAGGCCTAAAGACATCATGGCAGGAGGTTTCAGAGATGCACCTAAAATGGTCCTATTTGAAGCACTCTCATGCCACTTGAACAGTCATGGCCTCTGCCATAAAATCACAGGAACTGTAGTTTGTTAAGGGTGCAGAGAACTGTTAGGAGAGCCTGCACACAGTTCCCAGCACCCTTAACAAACTAGGTTTCCCAGGGTTCTTTGGGGGAAGCTGTAACTGTTCAAGTGGTGTAAGAGTGCTTTAAATGTATGGCGTTGAAGTCACCCGGTAAGAATATGGGAAGCTGCCTTACACTGAGATAGTCCTTTGGTTCCTCCAGATCAGTATGATCTTTGTTGACTGGTGGTGGCTTTCCAGAATTTGGGACCAATCTAGGACCATTGAGCTGTGGACTGCCTCAGGCCCAACCTTGGATTAGTGCAAAAATGTGGGTTCTCAAAGGGGAGCTCCCAGCAACTTTGCTCCTTTTTTGCTGCTGTGCTGAGCAAAGCCAAGGTTGGGCTTAGGAGGTCATCTTAACCTGGACCCAGACAAACTGCTTTTCATTGCAGTTCATATAGTCACTCCAGTTTTCCTAGTTCCTTATAGTTCTTCTGAACATTTCCATACACTGACTATCTGATACTTCTGAATGCCTAACTTTATGAATGCCCTGTGCTGTGAATCATCTTTATATTCCCCGTGGCATCCACATTTGGATCGTATTTCAATTTTTCTGGAAATACTAATATAGTTCTATTACAGTACCTGATACACCGGCAATTAATAAGCCAGTTGCCAGATATGTTCGGAAAACAAGATGGGAATGGGCAGTAGGGATTAGGCGAGCAGAAAAGAGATCACAATCCTCCTTGAGTATTGCTCATCATGAAGTTCATTTTGCATTATTATGGAATCCTAACTGTTGAGGGAACTCGCCCAGTGGATTATTTGACAGGAAAAATGGTGATGAAGTGACTGTTCCTCAGTGTTTGCCAGATACTGGAGTCAGGGGAAGAGGGAAAGCAAGAAAGAAATGAAAGGTGAGAAACTGGCAGTGTCTTTGGTTGAGTCTGGTGATGCTCTTTCAGATAGAAGCATTTTTGGAGTGAGTTCAGTTTGAACACTCATCACTACGTGTTTAATGGTTCTGTGCTTAGTCATGCAAAAGGCCTCATGGTATATTTTTCATTATCCACCTCTCCCAGATTTTTGGAAAGCTGTCATTGCATTTTGCACTTATAAGCAGCAAAATCTGGTATCCTGAGCTGCCTTCCATCCTGTACACTTTCAAGTTTAGCAGCTTAATGGAGACCATTCCAAGTTGGCTTGTCTGCTGGGAAACATTGTGTATTGTATAGCAGCGGCCTTTCAAATGCGGCTGAACTACAACTCACATCATCCCCGACCCATTGACTACGCTGACTGGCTCCCAACAACTAATATGTCATTCAGGGATTTGTGTTATTTTCATGGGCTTTTTCTATGTGCTTCATTTCAACCCCCCCCCCCCCCCCGCAATAGATCTATCATATAAATAAATAAATCTGGAGGGCTACAGATTTTCCAACCTTCTTGTAGTAGATCCTGGGTCACGTTCCAAGATTGAACAGTAAATCTCATGGAGAGCTAGCTAGGCTTATTAGCAATATAATGCTCCCATACAGCTGCTCATTTGCACGGGAAAGGTCATCAGTGGTGGGCAAACTCTTTTCGGGAAATTTGCCACCATCACTACCTCAGCAAGCTTCTAAGGAAACTCAGGATTCACCAGAACACAGTTGGAAAGCTATTGTGGTGATGTGTGGTTTTCAGAAGGCAACCCCCCTTTGCTGCCCAAGATTTAGTAAAACTGCTGATTTGCTCCAGTTATGTTTTGAATGGACGCTTTTAGATCTCCTTCCATTTCATGCAAAGAGAACGGGGATGCACACAAGTCCAAGGCTCTTGCTGGCTTGTTCGTGTAACAACAGCCCATAGTTTGTTGTTACATCTGAACCTGGCCCAGAAAATGCTGCCCATTTTAAAAACGTATAAATTCTGCGGAACTTTGGGGAAGGTGCTTGAAAAGTGCAAAATCGCATGCCTTGACAACCAACATTTTAAACTTTGCATGGCTCAAAAGCTTTCCTCTGATTCTTGCTGTTGTTGGAGGAATAAAACTCTGTGTGTTCCTGTGTGGAGGGGGGAAGACTCCAAGCATAATACATGATCAAACCTCAGTTTTGTTTAAAATCTGCTGTGTTCCCAAGAGCATTGTGTACTTGCTTTACCCGGAGTGTGTGCTTTTTTACCAACCCCTCTCCCGGAGGTTGCACATTATCCTGTTACTTAGTTAAGAGGGGCAACTTGCCTTGTGTGGCGACAGTTTGGGAAGAGGCATAAATAAGACACAGTTAATTGAAAGCAGATTCCCACTGTCTACCTCTAAAACCCACCCAGTCCATTAAAGCTCTCATGAATGACTCACTTTTGCAAAGAGAACTCTTTGCTCTTCTTCTGCCTCACTAAACTCTTACCTGGGGGAGGTAGAAGCTCTTGAATTTGGTGACATGGATTACTAGGGAATAAACAACACGTTAAAGTACAGTGTAGCGTTCAGAAGCCAGAAGGACACTGAGATTTAGCCCTTTGAACCTGCCTTGTTTCAATGAGTGGGTACGGTTGGTAATTGATACAGTGATAAGGAAAGGTCTTGACTGCATTACCTGGTGTCAGCTTCCGCTGCGCCCTGAACGGAGACCACAGACTGTATTTCATTTGAAGTGTGCTCATGCAAGAACAATAGATCACAGATTTAAGATGGGGCCTGGCTACTAAAGCAAGAGAGCCAGGTGGAGCAGCGCGAGAGGTAAATAGCCTTTTGTTTGCCTTTTAAGAAATAATAATCGGGGCAGCTGCTGCTGGAAAAGGATTATTTATAGCAATAGCAGGTTAGGCAAATCAAGGGCAAAACTTTGCACTGTTGTGTCTTTTAATTTCTGAGTTACGTCTTTGGGAGGGAATATTACAAATACCACATAAACTTACCTTAAGCATCAGCAAGTCATTTTAAGAAGGGGATTAAAAAAAAAAAAGCAGTAGCAGCATTTTGTCTGCAAGTTAAGCTGTTCCAGTTATCCATTGGTTTTGAGTTTGTGTGTGTGTGCGCGTGTGTGTTAAGATTGTGCAGTTCTCTTTCGCTTGGTTCATTCTTAAGTCAGCCTGGATAGCTCAGTTGGTTCGAGTGTGGTGCTGATAATGCCAAGGTTTCAGGTTTGATCCCTGTATGTATAGGATGGCTGCATGTTCCTGCATGGCAGAGGGTTGGACTAGATGATCCTCAGGGTCCCTTCCAACTCCACAATTCTTTGTTTCAACATTTACAACATTAGGCCCATGTGCCACATTTTGATTAGATAGGGAAGGACCATAGCTCAGCGGTAGAGCATCTGTTTTGCATGCAGAAGGTTTGACAATCACTCGTAGCCCAGTAAGATTGTCCCCCATGAACACGGTCTTAACAGTGAGTCCATAAGTGACTGTGGAAGCAAAACTTTTGCATCATAGTAAAATCTATGATGCATGAATATAGCCTCACTACACTCCTTGAAAGTTGTTCAGACTGGCTAAGTGTGAGTCCATGTACAGAAAACCCCCAGCAGGGGCAGATCTTGCTCAGCAATGGATTAATGTCTCGTTAACAATAAGCTTGAAATAATAGTACTGAAAATTCAAACATGAATGAAAGAACATAGCATGGAGAGGAACAAGCTACCATACCTCTGAAATAATTGACCATCACAACAACTAGGTTAAAGGATGTGCTACAGTAGGCTTTCTTGATCAACATCAATAAAACATCTAAAAATAACTACACAGATATAGTCTAAGTTGATTAGCAGTAATTGCCCTGAGTCAGTGTAGTCACTGATGGGTGATGTCATGTGTAATATTCTCTTAAAGTGATTTTAGCAGACGTAGCCTTTTGAAGAGCTCTTATAGTCAGCATAAATATCTTCCTGGTTCCAAGCGGGATGCCAACAGTCAATGATATGTCTAAATATGACATAATACGGTATTAGATTATATCTTTGTGCTTTTCTTGTTATATGTTGCCAAAGAAAAATGACAGCATCTGTCTTTTTAATGCAAAAAGGGAGCCATTAAAATCTTTGAGAAGCAGAACATGGTAGCAGGGAAATCATGTAAGAACAATGAAGGTGAGCTTTCAAATATTTATCTAGGATCTTCAATCCTCTTAGTCACAACATAAGCATTTGACTTTTCTGCAAAGTCTGGAGATGATAACAGTGGAGAGGTTCTTATACTATGCTCATGAACTGAGGCAGAACTTATGTGCATGTATAGAGGAGAGGGCATAGTTGGCCTGCTCTCTAAAAAGGTCTGGGCCTGACTCAATATGTGTTTGGTTAAAATGTAGTAGTAGTAGTAGTAGTAGTAATAGTAGTAGTAGTAGTAGTAGTAGTAGTAGATGCATTATAGGACTCCTCCCCCATATAGGTAAAGGTAAAGGTACCCCTGCCCGTACGGGCCAGTCGTGTCCGACTCTGGGGTTGCGTGCTCATCTCGCTC